ACAAGACTATTAAATCATACAACCCACGCCAAACTAGAATGACAAAAAAAAAAAAAAGAAGATTAATTGGAAGATAATAAAATAAATCAGACAGATGTGAATTACCTTGTCTTGACCGCCAACATCCCAAACAGTGAAGCTAATATTCTTATATTCCACAGTTTCCACATTAAATCCTAGCAACATATATAAACACAGATCCAACAAAAATCAGCCAATAATTAATTTTTTTTTATAAAAATATAGTTTGTGAATAAAATAATAATTTACCAATGGTAGGGATAGTAGTGACAATTTCTCCCAACTTCAGCTTGTAAAGAATGGTGGTTTTACCAGCAGCATCAAGACCTACCATCAGAATTCGCATTTCTTTCTTCGAGAACAATCGGCCAAGTAACTTCGTGAATGACAACCCCATCTCGCCTTTCCTCAATTCTTCCTCTTCTGTCACATTCAACTCAATTTTTTAACAGATCCACATCTAATTAAATTCTTCAAAGATCTAATCTAATCTAATGTAATGAGATAAGCGAGAATGAGAGAGTTACCGTGGTGTGTCGAGGAGTGACCAGTTTGAGATCTGATTTTCTTCGCTCTCTTTAACAAGGAAATGCGTTTGCTCTTCTGTCTCTCTGTGTTTATTAAAGGGTGACGCGATAGTCGGAGATAAAAATAACTAACACGGTTGCTCGAATTTCTTTATTTCGGGGCGCCGAGGGAGTCAACGGTCACATTTGTTTTGTTTCATGTGGTCACCCTTGAATTTGAAAGCGGGGTGCTAGAATCTGTCTTTTAAAATATATTTTTTAAAAAGTATATTAAAATAATATTATTTTTAATTTTTAAAAACTATTTTTTATATCAATATATTAAAACATTTTATTTTTCACCAAACTTCCGTACACTTTTTAAAATCTTTTGTAACTGTTATTCAGGATGCCAAACGAAGAAACGAATGTAGAAAGAAATTTATGTCACTGTTATTCATAACTCGATTGGAGAAAGCGAGAAATCTGGAACGCTCCGAGCATAAATCTATGTAGCATCGGAACGCGATGCCAATTATGATTTATAAAAATTTAATTCTTTAATATATTTTTAATTGTTTTAAAACGTTAATTTATTATACTTCCAAAATAAATTAAAAGATATCTGCCACATTTCTGTCTTTTCTAAAAACTCTAATGAAAAGGGAGAAAAAACAGCGTCATTCTGTGCCCACACAAAACAAGATGCCGAAGATATATTTATCTATGTTCGAATGGCTACTGCGAATTGAGATATTGGTTTACACGTAAGTGGTCCGTCAGGATTTATTAATGTGTAGAAGATTTCTTCAGGGCTAAGAATTCCTTATTACAAAATTAGGATTTCCCATGTCATCTACTAGCGTTTGTTTCTCTACTAGATTGCCATCCAAAGCATCTGCGTGATGCGCTGTCCTTGCCAAAAAATTCCTTCACATGGACGGTCATGGTCATGGACACGTGTGCCTGTCAAACACTAGAAATTCTTTCACTCTCAAAACTGCCTCTCGTAACACTTGGAAGGCAACGATTTGGAGAGAAAATGGACACTCCTCGGAATCAAACTTCCTCTCGGTTCATACAAGTGAGTGAGTTCATCCTTGCCTGACAAGTAATCTCTCTAATAGGGGTAGCAGAAACAGCAATCAAGTAATTAGCTGGTGTTTATTTGAATGTTTTACTAAGCGCAACTACAGAAGGAGAGATTTAGAACAAAAGCAGCAAAGAAATTAAATACAAGTGAGAACGTTTTTTACTGAACGAGAACATCATTTTATCAAAGGAACAGTTGCATCCATAACACGATGCCTCGTGAGGAAGTGTTTTATACGTCTCGAAAAGATTTTAATTGCATATGTTAATTTAACGAGAAGCTGACTACAGATACTATTCCAGAATCAAGACCATGCATGAAAAGTTCCTTCCCTGTCTCAAAACAGTAAAGAGGGGAGGACAATGGAAATTGTAAGTAATGTTTTTTGCAGTCCAGGACAAGGAAATCTATAATTCGACAGTATGAACGGAGGAATATATGCAGAGGACAGGTAACAGTGGATTTCAGTCTTACAGATCAAAGCAAGTGCACAAAATGCCCTGGTATGAAAATGCTTATGAATCGTCTATTATTGATAGTCTTCTGTTATACCACTGTAAGACTGAATTGAGTTTAACTTGGGAAAAGGACTTGCTTATCAGTTCATTAGTAACAATCATGGTAGTTCCATAGAGTGACATATTTAAGAAACAAGATGCAAACCCTCTGTTGAAGCCCCACCGTCCATCTTCCTTGAGAAGAGTCTTCGTTGCCTTGAGTACAGAAGGTCTCCCAGCACCATAATTATCCATAACCTTCCAGATTTAGGACTCTCGTGTTTAGAGTCTCTCCGAATATAACAATTAGGTTCCAAACCGCTCAACTATTGAATGAAAAAAAGATGGTTTTTCCTCCTGTGGACAAATTAATGCAATAGAAACAGCAAGTGGTCGAATGATACTCTATCAAAGTTTTTAGACAATTATTGATTTGTAACATAGGACATTAATTGACAAACTATGAACACATTTATGCTTTCTCTGTTAGAGTAACTCAAACTACAGGATGGATGCTACAGTAAAACGATTCCACCCAAAAAAAGGAGCAAATCCCAAAATCCTCTCAAAGATACTGTTCCCAGAGTACCGAAGCAATCCAAAAATATATATCATTATTGGTCAAATCAAGGCATTACATCTTTTTTATTCCCAATCGAGTGCTAAATATTTGAAGACACAACAATTTTAGAAAACTAGAAAAGGAGTGAACTAATTTACACATCCAAGGGCATATGGTTCACACAAGAAACTAGTTTTGACAACATGCCTGCGACTCCATTCGCAATGCTGAAACCTGTTGCTTCAGGCATGTCTAAACCTTCTGTGCATTTCAACATCATATCTTTTGACACTTCAAATGCTGTCAAAGAAAGATCTCCATCAGGAAATGCTCCAATAGCAGAGGTGCCAAAACCACGAGAAAGACCTGAATACCATCATTCCGCAACATGTGTGAGAGCCCAGAATCTGCTGCTTGCATTCTAGTCTTCACAACTGCTGTTGGATGCAATAAGCCTTGCTGAATAGTAAAGAGGACAGCACCAGTAATATGAAACTTTGTCTTTTCCAACATGGATAAAGGCCAGTAATTAGAAGAATAATTATTTTGTATTTAGCAAAAACACTAGTAGTACCAATGATTGACACAAGCAATAGAAAAATCCACGAAGTTAAAGAGATGGTGATAAGAACAGATATCTACGCAACTCATCATTGAATAACCATATAAACTGTGAGTTATACTGCAACCTCACAGCATGTTTACTAGAAAGGAAACGAGGATGGAGTGGTCATGGAGTCGTTGGTACCTACTTGATGCCGCCACTCGGACATTACTCGATGAAGGCACAAGGCTGGCAAAAAGCACCCGGAGAGCCAAAAGACACTATTTATGATTCTGTGATAGTGCCTGTCGATGAATTCGATCGATTGTCAAAATCCATTAAAAGAAATCGCTCGACGGGAGAGAATCCTTTCATATAATAGAACAACACCATCATCAATGTAATTGCTTAAAAGAAGTACGCAACAGAACAGATGCAGATTGAATAACTTTCACAAGTTAATTTATGAGATTAAAATGATTTAACGTTGTTTATTTATCACTAGGCCAGTGCTATTTGCATCCCAGCTGCCATCTCAAGAAGGATCAAAGTGTTATTTTTAACATTACAGCAAAACACCAAAGAAGTAAAAACAAAGCACACTCAACGCTAAAACTCAAAACTACCATGATCTCTAAAAAATTAAAAATAAACCAACTAAGAATGAAAAAAATAATAATAATGCACCGACCTAGCCCGATTGATGTCAGAATCAGCAAGAGCCAACTCAGGAACAGTTGCAACTTCAGTTTCGACAGCCATTGATCAACCTCAGGTTTTCCTACTGTTTGCAAATGCGGTTAGAGCCAGGGAACTTTTCAGAAGGCAAAAAAGCTGCCTGGGTGTGTCGGTCTTCAAGTGGGGAAATGGTGGCGGCATGTGTTGCCCTTCAATGTTATTTTTTGAATTTTTATGAAAAGCTATTTGAAATGTAGTTTTAAACTGCTAACCCAACTCAGTTTTTTTATTAAATTTAGATATTAAAAAGTGTTTGTGAGTATAATAATTGTTTTTAAAAATAAATTAAAATAATATTTTTTAAATTTATTTTTAATATTAATATATCAAAATAATTAAAAAACATAAAAAATAAAATTTAAATAAAAAAATTTAAACTTTTAAAAATTAAGGTTTAAATTATATTTCCAAACAATTATTAAGTTGACTAAATTTAAGTGACTTGATAGATCAATTTACAACCAATTGATTTAATCAAGTTAATTTTAATAATTTATTTAATTATATCTAAAATAATATACTTTTAATTTTTTATTTTATTTTTATAAAAAAATAATGTCATAGCTGGTTTGACAATTCAGTTATTCTAGTGATTAAATTAAAGATTGAGTTTGACAACAATAATTAATGTAGTATTTTAAAGTATGATAATTATTATAGTTTAAAATATTTTTTATTTAAAAATATATTTTTTAAAAAAATATATTTATATGAACATATTAAAATAATCTAAAAATAGTAAATAATTAATTTTAAATTAAAAAATAAATTTTAAAAATACACGATTTTAATCGTAATAGTCGAACACCGTAAAAAATTAGAAAGAGTTAGGCGTGCTCTAAAAAAAAAACTATTCAACGCGTTGGGGAGTAAGTTGTGAAACAAATGGTTGAGGGTTCAATTGTAGTCACCCGGAAGAATACATCCTTTTTATAAATTCTCTCACCCTACTCACATCGACCGTCAGATTTATCGATTTTCTCAAGTGCCCCACGAAATCACAACCATCAAGAGCCTGTCGGCCAAGGTAAAGAATAGATACGGCTAAAAAATACGCGAGTTCATTATGAATCATAGACTGTCGGGCTAACCAATATCTTTTCTCTCCAGTAACCCTAAAATCGATTGACACAACTACACAAGTAGGCAGTCTATTTTCAAGACGATTTTCTCATTCGAGTTAGACTAGAGGACTCGAAATTATTATTTTATGTAAAAGCTTTTTTTTTTTTTTAACTCATCCCATTCATTCTTGTAATCCTTTTCCTCGTATTTACAGACAGTGTAAAAGCTTGGCAGACATCCTCAACAAGGTATTTTGGTTTTTTTTTTTTTGCAATCGTTTTGAGATTATTTCAATTATTTTTTCGATATCATATAGGGTTTATCTTATCAACTGTACTGTATTTTCAATTTATGTGTATTTATGTAACACATTCGTTATTAGTATATGAATCGCTTTTTTTTAATGGTTCGATTTTTATTGAATCCGTGAGCTAACAATCAGTTGAAGAACTTGAAACAAGAATCTTTTGTAATTTAAGCTTTTTTGTATTTTCGAGCTGAGTTTCATTCTTGAAACAACAGAATGCCATAAAAATGGCACTCATGAAGTTGTTGATGGTCATGTTCTCAGATAGTTATGAAAAACTTTTGAATTAATATTGTTTGATTACATAATTGAATCCAGGATCTGTATTGGATGCCGCTAAAATGTTTTCATGTTTGAAAAATTCAATTAATTTGGATGAGTTTCAGGTGTTGAATTTCATTTTTGTTTGGTATCTGTAATTATGCACAATAGTTTTCTCAGGAAACTGTTGAGCTAATGTTGTATTTTTCGCTTGTTTTCCAATAATCCCACTTGTTTTTTTTATTTGTGGTTTGTCTGGTTGTAGATAAATATTAGGCATGGCTACTGCTGACCCAGCTTCAGCTACCGTTGGGCCACGGTATGCTCCAGAAGACCCAACCCTTCCCAAACCATGGACAGGACTGATTGATGGAAGTACAGGTCTTTTATATTACTGGAATCCTGAAACCAACATCACGCAGTATGAAAAGCCCCCATCTGTGCCGCCACAGATGCCTCCTGCTCTACCTCCTAATGCTTCTACGCCTAAGTTGGCCCAGATACCCATGGCACACTCATCGCAACCAAATGGCTTGGTGTCTCAAGCTGCACAACAGACTATGCAAGCATCACAGCAACAAGGGCAACAGATTAGCCAGTTGCATCAACAATATGGACAGGTAACTTCACAACAGCAGGGTCCCCAAGTAGTGCAGCTTTCTAACCAGCAGGGTGCACCACAGCAAGGTTCACAGTTGTCACAGGCCATTCAACAACCGGCGCAGTTGAGATCAATGCAGCATCCAGTTCAGCATCTGCTGTCCCATGCAGGGCAGCAAATGCCTCAACAAGGAGGTCAGCAGGTGCCCCAGCAGGTAGGGCAGTACATTATGCAGCATCAAAGCTTGCAAATGCCACAACCACAAGGACATCAGTATGCATATCAGCAGCCAATGCAGTACATGACATATCAGCAAAACATGCTTCCACAGGGCCAACAAAGCTCGCAGCAGCAGGCACATCTTAGTGCACAAGGGTTGCAATTTCCTAATCAACATGAATATAAGGCAGCGTTGCCAAAGAGAGAGGAAGTTGAGTTCCAGCAAGGAAATCAAACTGGGTTTTCTCCAACTCGGTTTCAACAGACTGGTGGATCATCCTCTCAAAACCTGTCTTCTGCTGGAAGCAATCCGGTTTGCATGCCGCATTCTGGTGTTCAGTTGGGTCAGGCTCAGCAGTTTGGTAGCTCTTCTGTTAATATTCAACATCCTCCTTCCATGGTTCAGATGCAGCAAATTGGGACTGATTTTCATCAGCAGCATGGTCCTAGGTTTCAAAATCATATGGGTCCCTCAGTGATGCACAATCAGCAGTCTAATCTGCCCCCTGCTGGGTTAAATATGGGTTATGAGAACAATGCACGTGGTAGGTCTGGCAATGATCATTATATTAATGCTAAAGTGGAAGGGCCTGTGATGAGTCCCCATCAGCCTGAGTTCATAGCTATGTCCAGGGCAAGAAAGCAGCAGGTACATTAGTTTATGCTCTCATTCAGTAGCCTTTGTCTCTAGAAACTGGTTTCAATGAAAGTTTTACTTGTAAAATGTTTGGGAGAAAAAAAGAAAAAAAATCTTTTTGCATCCTAAATAATTGAAAATTGGAAATGCAAACGAGCATTGTTGATGGGTTCATTGATCATGTTCTCTGATTGATTGGCTCATCAGTGAAGATATTGCTTATCCTTTTCAGGATTCAAGGACGGGGAGTGTTCCATTTCAGAATGTCGGGCCTGGTCATGGCAGCGGATTTAATACAGATGGGCATCCCAACCATAATATGTATAGTCATGCAACCAGTGGTCCGCCTTTTCCAAACAATGCATTGATGAGACCCTCTTTCATAGAAACTGCAGACATTTCTAACCTCTCGCCTGCTGAAGTTTACCGCCAGGAGCATGAAGTCTCAGCTACGGTCTGTATAATAACCTGACTCGATATTATTGTCATGTTGATTTGCTTGTGATAGTCCTCGTCAATCCATTTCAATAAATGCTAAAATAGGCAAGTGGGTGTCACAGCTAATGACTCAGCTGGTAATCCATTATAGCATAGTCATAGTAAGCAGAAGGAATTAAAAACTGAAAATACTAGGCTGTTTGGAATTCATGTAGCTTTTGGATGGATCAGATCATTGATCACCTAGGCTTCACCAAATTACATCTTTTGCTTTGTGAAGGTGTGGTTGCTGATGAGCTGAGCACTGTCTGACCAAGTTGTATGGATGTGTCACCCAGTGACTTGTTATTGGATTTGATAGGAGCTATAGAAATGTGATGTTCATGTATTTTCTCTTTATTTCGAACATATTTCATTAATTTATGCTATTATGAGGATGTTTTTTGATTGGAATAGTATATTCTACTAGACCTTATGTAGAGGTCCTCTTCTCTTCTTACATATAAGAGCTGAATGTTTTTAATATGTTCATTATGTTAACTTTTTGAAGGGGTTTTTTTTATAAGTTATTTGTGTTTCTTTCTTCTGTCTTTTCCTTCTTTTTTTGTTTTTTGGTATTTCCCTTTGGGAATTTACCTTTCATTTGGAAAAAGGCTTTTGTCTGTTTTGGTTTCAGTGTTTCATTCCCTTTATTTTGTACCTGATGGCATATTAGTTATTTAGGATTGTTTTTATCTTATACTTGTCTGTACATTGTGTAGGGTGACAATGTTCCTGCCCCATTCATGACTTTTGAAGCCACTGGTTTCCCTTCGGAGATATTACGAGATGTAAGTTCTACTTGTGCCAATATTTTAGGTTATATGTCTTAGGTTTAGAAGAATGAATTAAGATTCGCTTCTTTCTGTTTTTGAGATGTTCTTGCCTTTTGAATTATTTTAGACTCATAATTTGAATTATTTTAGACTCATAATTTCTCACTTGTCGCAGGTGCGATATTTGCTCCGGAGGAGGAGCATATGTCGTACGCTGCTCTGCTATTGGCATATTTATTCATGCAAGAACTATTCTGATTTTTTGGAGGCTGCAAAATGGACAGTTGGAGCCTTTCCTGTGCATCTTCTAGGAAGGTGGTTGGCCTTTTGTCCAATTCACACCTGATGTGACTGGGATTTGTTGCTTATTGGCTCCGTCTCATATGTCTTTATTGCCCTCTTTAGTTGCTCGAGTTGCTTATGTAAGCAACTGTATACCCATGGATTTTTAGTTTTTTTCTTTTATGTCACAACATGCTATTGGTCACCTGTTATATTGTTTTAAGCACTGATAACTTTGATACACTTAATTTTATCAGTCTGCTTATCTAGATACACACTTTTGTTCCAGATACATTCCGCTGGATTCGTATCTCCAACACCAATTCAGGCACAAACATGGCCAATTGCGCTACAAAGTAGGGATATAGTGGCCATTGCCAAAACTGGTTCCGGTAAAACATTGGGTTACTTGATTCCTGCCTTCATTCTTCTTCAACAACGAAGAAATAATGCTCAGAATGGACCTACAGTGTTGGTCTTGGCTCCAACCAGGGAGCTTGCCACGCAAATACAAGACGAGGTGATGAAATTTGGTCGATCTTCTAGGGTCTCTTGCACGGTGAGTCTTCTCTCTGAGAGCTATGTATTTACTTTCCTTTGGAATGTTGGTTCATCATATGATTTTGTTCTTTATTGCAGTGCTTGTATGGTGGAGCTCCAAAGATTCCTCAACTGAAAGAATTAGAAAGGGGAGCAGATATAGTTGTGGCAACACCTGGTCGACTCAATGACATCCTTGAAATGAAAAGGATTGACTTTAGGCAAGTTTCACTCCTTGTGCTTGATGAGGCTGATCGAATGCTTGACATGGGATTTGAGCCTCAGATCCGTAAGATTGTGAACGAAATACCTCCTCAAAGGCAAACACTTATGTTCACTGCAACCTGGCCAAAAGAAGTGAGGAAAATAGCAAGTGATCTTCTTGTTCATCCTGTCCAGGTGAACATTGGCAGTGTTGATGTGCTTGCTGCCAACAAGTCAATCACACAGGTAACTTGTAATGTAGTTCATTTTTTGTTACTTAAATGAGAATGCAATGGAGTAGATTGCAGAATTATGCTTTTTGGGGAAATAAACCTTGGTCTCTAAATTAATTTTCATCAAATATTTAATATATTTATACTTTATGGGACTAAAAATCACCTTGATGCTTGCTGAATATGTTTCTTTTCTTCTACTCAAAAATTTACAAATGATTTCTCCAAATATTTTTGGATATTTATATGCAAATTTCGTATTTATTATGTTGCAATTTGTATAAGGTCCCTTGTTCTTTCTATAAACAGAATAATGTCTATCTGCAGTATGTTCCCTTATTACTATAAACAAGATAATGTAAATCTGCAGTATGTTGAAGTGGTCCCACAAATGGAAAAGGACCGGCGCTTGGAGCAAATCCTTAGAACACAAGAGAGAGGTTCCAAGGCTATCATTTTCTGCTCTACAAAGAGATTGTGTGACCAGCTTGCACGGAGTATCGGACGGAACTTTGGAGCCGCTGCAATCCATGGAGACAAGTCTCAAGGTGAGAGAGACTGGGCTTTAAACCAGTTCCGGAGTGGAAAATCTCCAATTTTAGTTGCCACTGACGTTGCTGCCCGCGGTCTTGATATCAAAGACATAAGGTTAGTTCCTTCCTCCTTTGAATACATAGATGAGAGTTTAATGGAAGTGGAAGTTTAGGACGAAGATTCTTGATTTTTAAAAATTATGCATATTATTTACTTGTTGGAACATCAAGCACTCTCTGTGGTGATTGTCTGTTGCAAATTGCAATCTTACATCAATTCTCATTTTCAAGGATTGTTATCAACTACGACTTCCCCTCTGGGATTGAGGACTATGTTCACCGAATTGGTAGAACTGGGAGGGCTGGTGCAACTGGGGTGTCATACACCTTTTTCTCAGAGCAGGACTGGAAATATGCAGCTGACCTGGTTAAACTGCTGGAGGGAGCTAATCAGCATGTGCCTGTAGAGGTGCGAGAGATGGCGTTGCGTGGTGGACCTAGCTTTGGGAAGGATCGAGGAGGGTTGAACCGTTTTGATGCTGGCAGGGGTGGTGGGCGGTGGGCTTCTGGCGGCCGTGGTGGGATGAGAGATGGTGGCTTTGGTGGTCGTGGTGGGATGAGAGATGGTGGCTTTGGTGGCCGTGGTGGGATGCGGGAAAACAGCTTTGGGGGACGTGGTGGGATGAGGGAAAACAACTTTGGGGGACGTGGTGGGATGAGGGATGGGAACTTTGGGGGACGTGGTGGGAGAAACGACTTGTTTTCTGGGCGGGAAAACAGGGGAAGGGGATTTGGTGGCTCTGGTGGTGGTCATGTTGGTTGGGGTAGGAATGATCGAGGCCATGATCGTCATGGTTACATGGATGGCCGTGGACGTGGTCATGGAAGATTCGATGGTAGAAGGGATATGACTGAAAAGAGTAGGGGCAGAAGTTTCAGTCGAAGCCCTGATAGGGCTCGAACACGAGGTTATAGCCGGAGCCGGAGTAGGAGTCGGAGCTGGACCAGAAGCCGAAGCCGAAGCCGCAGCCGCAGCCCCCGACACAGCCGCAGCCGCAGCCCCAGCCCCCGACATAGCCGCAGCCGCAGCGCCATCCGC